GTCCCTTCCAACCCAAACCATTCTATGAGTCAATGATTCTATGCTAAGCAGAGGCACACAACATCAACACTTTTTTGGTATTTCAGTAGAAATACCAGATAATCATCATTGACGTGTGCGAGAAATTGTAGTGGAAATAATGTGCAGTATATAAGAAAATTAACAAGTGGCATGTACTACCCTGTGAATTCATTCTAGTTTGTAAGACAACTTGGGAGAAATCAGAGGTTCAAACAGAGTTGGACTTGATTTTTTTTTTTTTTTAATCCTGTGTTCATATGTCAATGTTCAGTATTTTATGGTTTTTACTCCCAGATGAATTTACATTTCTGGGACCTTTGTCTTGCACACAATATCATGACCTTGAGCACACATGCCAGTAAAGAAGGGTAAAAAAACCAAAAGGAAATGTGTTATTTCGTGTCTATTTTCACTGAGAAACAGACTTGATATACCACCCTAGACTAGTTTATGTGTTACCTTTCTACTGGAGTGCATAGCCTGTTATGAAACCACCTAAGAGCTATGTTCCAGATCTACTCTGTCAAAAAACTGGGCAAGAACCTGGCATGTGGCCAGCATCCAGATCTGTCTTCTCCTCAAATGCCCAGGTACGCAGAGGTGCATCCAAGTAGCCTTGGGAAAGAGCATGGTGAGGAGCAAGCTGCAAGTAGGGCAGCTGTTTCAGTAAGCCATGTTTTGCAAATGATATAGATTTGTGTCATGCTGCAGATGCAGACTACCTTTAAGCCAGGTACAGCTCATTGAGTGTGTAGGTAAGGCCAGACCAATGAGTCTGGAGGCAGTTTGCAGCCACGGTCTGGAGCGGAGTTTCAGCACAGCTCAGTGACGATGAAATCTGACTCAGGGTCACACTGTCTAATTCCCAGTTCTGCAATTAACTCGTCATCTCACTTACCTTCTTTCTGCTTCTGCTTTCTTATTGTAATTTAAGTATCAATAGCTACCACAAAGCAGTTGCTGTATTAATTGCAGATCTTCCTAAGGCATTGTTAAGACATCTGTGTGGTGAAGAGCATTAAATCTAAAATTTACCTTGATTCTTAAATGCCACTTTCACAATTTTTGTCCTGCTGGTTTTCACAGTACAGAAGAATCATAGCTTGTAATTTCGGCTGTAGAAGATGCCAAAGATGTCCCTATAGAGATTAAGCTCAACAAAGGTAGAGCTTATCTGGATAGATGACGCCCTGTACAACACTACGTATTTTAATTATACTTTTTTAGGCTGAATCAGCGTGTGTCCCAGCATGCCCTGAGAGGTCAGCTCATTGGGTGCTACAATAGCCTAAGAAGCCTCTTAGATGATTTCCCTGTCATCAGAGACAAGTACTTCATAATTGGACTATCTCAAGGGAAAAAAGAGGAGCAAGACTTAAAGAAAAACCTTGCAGCTGATCCCAGGTTTGTATCATGTTTGCAAGTGTGTTCCTGGGGGCCAGAGTCCTCAGTCAGTGCATATTACTAAGTAAAGATGAATACATGTTTGTAAGGGGAATGGTAGCCTTAAAGTGCCCCAAGTGGTGTGTTCTGCCAATCTTCAGGCAATTTTGATGGATGGAGAATGCGCAGTCAGAGTTGCCTGCAAAAGCTGGTATATGAAGAAGGAACACTTTAAAAATGTGCTTGGTTCTAATCCCAATACTGCATGTAAGGGGGAAAGAAACTGATAATCTCATTTTCAGGAGATAAATCTTCTGCTTTAATGATTAAGCCTAAGTAGTGAGGAGTGCCTTACCCTTTAAATTTCATTTATTTAAGGTTTAAACAAAACTTGCTAATAAGTTGCAGGCGTGTGACTTGTCAGAAGTTAGGAAAGGAGAGGAAGAGCACACGACACACTAGGGGATGACCCTGTATCATCTGCTTCTTTCAGAAAGGACATTTTTTTGGCCATGTCACAAGGATCTCCTTCCTCAAAACTTGTGGCTAGCAAGGCGAGCCCTTCTGCTGACTCTCTGTAAGTCTCTGGGCTCCCCATGTTAGCACCAGCAGGCAGATGGTTTTAGATGTGAAAATAGTCACCCAGCACACTGGTTTTCCTCTTGATCACCTTGTTCCCCAGCAATAGAGAGGCTCAGCAGCAAACACAAAAACCCCTCACTTGTTAAGGTTCAAGCAAAAGCTTTAGTTCCAATAACAAAGGTTGGGAGTGTGGTTACAAGCCTAACAAATCATAAACCATGGTTCAACAGGATACTTGAGAAGGTGATCGTCACCCCTTCCCTGTTGTTTAACTGCATGCCAGCTGCAGGCTTGTGGAGCTACACCTGTCTTGGGCTAGCTCTTATCTTGCTAGTAGTTGCTGGGGAGTAACCCCATCACGGGCCCATGGCATGGGTCGTTTTTCTTCCTTTATCTGCCAGCTTTTATTGGGTGTTGTCTAAGGCACTGTATTTTGTACTGCTGTCTTGGATGCCCTGAGAAGCTTTTAAGCTCTATAGTATTTTACATATTATCATAAAATGTTGCACATGGGCCATTCATAACACAGTCGCCCTGAGCTTTAGAAGGAGCCTTCTCTGGACACAGTAACAGAAGAGATAATAGTAACCCTAGAGAAAAATATTTTAGTAGTTACTTGTCATAGCAACTGTTTTGGTTTCCATCCTAGTTTATTAGCAAGGACTAAATCAAACATGATTTATTTGCACAGAGAAGCTGAGTTCAGCTGCAGAACCTGTACTTCTGCAGTTCATGCTATGCATTACCTGCTACTCTTGGTGTCACAGGAACATTGAGCAAAGAATAAAGCCATGGTGTGTTTCAGGACTATACATCTTATGACAGAGAACTTGCAGAGCATTGCCTCCGCTGGGATATTCAAAATACAGATTAGCCAGTTCTAGCACTGTGCACCCTAATCAGGTATTGGCTTGTCCCTTTTGGACCTGTAACTTTTCAACAGCAAGAAAATATTTCAATACCCTATAATAATTTATAGGGTTATACTATTACACTTCTTCCAAAACGGTAATGTAAGCATATTAATTTATAAGCAGTTACATGTTGTCTTTTTACACTTTAAAATGAAACATCTGAAACAATGAAACATCTTAGAAAATAAGCATGTATACATGTGTATGCCCTTTTATTTTTTAAATACCCCTGAATTTTCTGAGGTTGCCTTTTCTCCTCCTGTGCTTCGATGCTTGCCTGTCTCTCTCCATCAACTTGCAGCCACACTTTCATATCGCTTGCTATAGCATGCTGCTTTTCTGCGTTTGATATACAAAGGAAGCCGAGAGCAAATCCTTATCTACCGGAGGGAGGCAGATGTGAAGGTGTCTGGAGAGCAGGGAGAGTGAGGACTGCTGCGGCACACCCTTCACACCTGCGTGGACCTGCCCCTGGCCTTCATGCCAGAAAGGGACCTGCGGGGAGCTGGAGAAAAGGCTTTAATTAAAAATGGCTCCTGCCCTTTCAGCCCCTCTGCCCTTTTTTTGTCCCCGCTTTATCAGTTATTACCAGTTAATGTTTCATTTTCTGTTGTTGTTTAATTGAAGCTAAGAAGCACCTTGTAGACAGCAACTGTCAATTAGTTATGATGAAAGCAGTAATTTAGCTTCCATCCTGCCTGCATTTAGAGGGTTATAGCAGGACATTAATTCAATTGCTTTCTTATCTTCTGAACTAATCTCGTTGCCTGCATTTGTGGCTGCCAAGCACTTGGAGGGTGAGCAGGTCCTGCCTTCCCTGTCTCTCCCTCCCTCTGAGAGGAACCTGCAGCTGGGTGGAAGAAACAGTGTATGATGTGGTGGACAGGGGGAAGGTACCTAGTTACAGAGGAGGAAATACAGGGAGGAAAAAAGATAGGCATTGAGCGAAGAGGGGGAAAAAAGAGAAAAAAAACCATGGAATAAAGAAGAAAGGAAAGAAGAGACTCTCGAGGAGAAGCAGAAGAAATGAGAATGAGAATAGTTATAATGAAAAGCTTTCTGCAAATATATATATGTATTTCCATAAGCCTATAATTCATTAACATCAATGGGAAATGAATAGCCCACCTAACTTTAGACACCTGTATCTGACTAGGCTCCCCTGATAATAAATGGGTGCTTCAAAGGGATGACCCATTTCACAATCCTGATTTCCAATGAGATATGC